TACATAATGTACAGCAGTGAAATGCCATTCAGCCTGGCAGCCTTTGGTATTTTTTAATCTGCACATGAGCCTCCTCCTGCCCTTTTAGAAACATAGAAATTGAGAGCAGGAGGAGGCCATTTGGCCCATTAGCATGATCATGGCTGATCTTCTAACTCTGAATCTTGTTCCCACTTTCGTCCTTTAACGTACAGCAACCTTTGTTTTAACCAGCAGTCTTGATAAACTAGCAAAAATTACATAGGTCAAATGTAGCGATCTACCATAATGTCCAAGTATTTGTGCTGTAAATAAAGAATAATAGTGATGTGGATACCCCCCTGCATTACGTTTCTAATCCTCAGAGGTATTTCCGCTGTAAAGTGTGTTTCGTTAATGCAAATTGGCTGTGACACTGTTTGGATAACGTGAACTTTCTACTGTACAGTAAAGCGATTTCCCGACAACGTGACTTTCTATTTCACAAGGTCACACAAGAACACAAATGTCGTGTTATAGGAGAACTATCTGTACTGAGTGATTGTATGTTGATTTCAGGAGGTGCGTTGGTGTTCTTACAGAGATTTTTTTGAGGTTTGTTGGTGTCTCAAAGTTCAGTTGAAATTTCTGAAGAAGGGTCCCGACCCGAAACGTCAGCTTTCCTGCTGCCTGATCTGCTGTGTTCCTCCAGCATCACCCCTTGTTATCTCAGACTCCAGCATTGGCAGTTCTTGGGCTATCTGGTACCATAGGTGTTGGTTACTAAAATGTTTGCTGTTTAAAGTATTGTACCCTTTTATACCTTTAGCCCTAAGAACTATTTCTAATTCATAGAATCCTTCAGTGTGAAAAAAGGCCATTCAGCCCATCCAGTGACCCTGCAAAGACTATCCCACCCAGACCAACCGTACCTCTGTAACCCTGCATTGACAATGGCTAAGCCCCATAACCTGCACATGCCTTGACACTATGAGCAATTTAGCATGGCCAAATCAGGTAACGTGCACATCTTTGGACTGTGGGACGAAACCAGGGCACCCAACGAAAAATCCATGCAGATACAGGGACAATGTGCTGACTGCACACAGACAGCCACCCAAAGCTGGACGTGAACCTGGGTTCCTGACGCCATGAGGCAACAGTGCTGCCCACTGAGACCCCATACTGCCCTAGCCACTGTGCGCCCCCCCCCCACCAATTCCTTCTTGAGACATGTAATGTTTTGGCTTCGATCACGTTCTGTGGCAAAGAATTCCACAGGCTCACGACTCTCTGTATGAAGAAATTTCTCCTCATCTCAGACCTGCATTGCTCACTCTGTATCTTTTAAGGGTGACCCCTGGTTCTGGATTCCCCAGTTAGCAGGAGCATCCTTCCTGTATTTCGCCTGTCTGGGCCTGTTGGATTTTTATAGGTTTCTATAAGACATGCACCATACCCCTTCCCCCTTCCCCAAATATCCTCACCCTCCACTCTTCTTAACTCCAGTAAATATGGACCAAATCGATCCACTGTTTTGTCATATATCTGCTGCTGCAGGAATCAATCTTGTAAACCTTTCTTTTCTGAACCAATCTGCATCATCTGCTATTCCTTTCTCCTTTGTACTTACCTTGCTTACCCTTAGGCCATGGCTTCACTTTCTCAACGTACTGCAATTTCTGATTTCAATCTACTAGCTCACGAACTCTTGAACTATGAGTACCTTTCACTCCTTGGGTATTTTCCAAAGTGTTGCTTGGTCAACCTAGAACTAAGACCCTCCATCGGAGTCGGGATGTTTTTGTTTGTAATGAAAGATTGAGGGTACAGGCTGGAATAATGATATCCGTAAGTAATCTTAAGTGCAGGCACATCAGGCTGTCATGACCCTCATCAGCTGATCTCCTGTAACTACAGAATAACATCATTCAAACAAGAAGCTGGGCCACTGAAGCCATTTTAATGCATATTTGTGGCATCCTTTTGGGACTCGCATCAAGAAAATACAGTGAGCTGATTTCACAATGTTTAAGTTGGCATCATCACAAGATTCACTGACGTAAAAAAGATGTGGATAGTTTCATGTGGAAAACATTCACATTTTTTAACATTGCAACATTTGCCACAGAATTGATTGTTATCATGCAGGGCTGCATAACATTGTGAAACTGCGTGTTAAATTAAAAGCTATGTATCATAAAACCCTTGCAAACAATTGAAAAGGCTTCTCACAGCACTGTCCTATGAGGTTCGAAGATCGGATCAGCGAGCATGAAGCTAAAATTGGAAGAAACTTGTTGACCTTTTTAAGTTGTGAATTCAGGATACCTGGAAGCATTTTGCAACCAGTAAATGACTTTTGATTTGTCAGATTTATGGGACTGGACAGCTAGTTGCTCAGGTCCATGGGGTCCTCTGTTAAACATCTCACCTGAAAGCTGGCACCTCTGCCGCTGCAGTACTCCCTTAGTACAGCAGTGAAACATTAGCATCAGCATGTTTTTACTGCTCCTTATTTCTCGAACCTCCTTCATATCTATAACTACTGCCCACCTTGTCTATTTCTCTGATGGGGGCTGGTTTGATAGGTGCCTTCCTTCCAATCATGTAGCACTTTTTCAGGACTGTACCACCATTTCTTTTCGATATATTTTCTAACCAGCCTATTCAGAAAGGTTATTACACACTGCAGGTGGGACTTCTACTTGGGCTTCCTGGTTCAGAGGTCTGGAAATTACCACTGCACCACAAGAGCCCATGCTGGCCCACATTAAAGAGATCCGTTTGAAGCCTGATTGTAAACAAAACCTTCACAAAAGGGATTCGGACAAAATCAAAAGATTGCAGATGTTGGAAGCGTGTAATTTCAAAAAAAAACAAAATATTTGGCACAACAGACCACATCTATGGAGGGAGAAACAGACAATGTTTCACATCTCTGCCTTTGTGTCACTTGGTGAGAACAGCAGTTCAAGGAATGTTGAATATTTAAGAGACAGTTATAATGGTATGCTCCAAAGTGAAGGTGAAATTTCACTTTGAATCCAAGTGAATTCATGAGAGCTGGAGCCATTTGCTAAGCAGGGCAAGAATTTGCTTTGATAAGTAATCAAAAACAGCACAATGCAATAAGGTTAGGGAGGGTAAAGCAGTCTAAACAAAATCCTATCAGAGAGAAGAATAGTGCACTCAAGGTAGCACTGCTGGAAGAGACCCAGTGCTGAGTTATACACTAATAGAAATGCAAAGTGCTGCAGCTGTTGGAAATCTGAAATAAAAACAAAAAATGTTTTGAAACACTGAACAGACACGGCAGCACCTGTGGAGAGGGAAACAGGATTGATATTTAGTATGTGACCTTCAACAGAACGTTTGGTGCTGAAGTAAAGCTCGAGGCCTGAAACTTCAACTCGACGTTGTCGCAGATTCTCCCACAACAGGTTTGGACCTATGTACTGATTGCAAAATCCCAGAACACAACTTGAACAGACCCCTGTTTCTCAGAATACATGTTTCATGTGTGAGTTGAACTGTCTGTTTGAATAGTGTCGAAACAGTGAAAAGAAGCAGACTTAGATTTAAGTAGTACCTTTCACTACTGGAGGTTGTGAAATGCTGCGCAGCCAGTACAGAACTGCTGAAATCTAATCACTGTTAGACTGTCAAATCACTAATCAATGTGGGAGCAACATGAATTCTGTGCAGAGGATTTGTTTTAACTGTCTGCATCACGAAGCATACTGCTTAAAGCTGCAGTTTTCATGATTTGGACTTGATTTTTATTTCACACAATCTTCTGAATGATTAAATATTTGCTAACAGTGCGCCCTGAATCTTCTGTTTATTGAGCATTATGTAATTTGAGTGCACCCTCTTTTCATTCACTCAGTTCCTCTCTCAGAGACATGAAGCACAAAAGAGACTGTTCAGCCAATTTAGCCTCACTGATCGATTGAGTCTTAACTTGCATTTGTACTTTAAGATGGAGATCTTAAATCTTTAAGATGGAGATGCGGCCCAAGGTGCTTTCACTGAGATATGAAGAAAGATGGTTTAAATGGGGTAATGACAAATTTGATCAACTGAATGCTGACTGCAAGATGGTCACATTTCAGTTGAGATTGGGGAAGATTATAGAATCCCGACTTTGCAGAGAGAAGCCATTTGGCCTATTGAGTCTGCACTGACTCTGAGCATCCCACCCAGACCCACCCTCACTGCCCTACTCCCGTAACCCACATTTAACATGGCTAATCTACAGAGCGTACACATCCATGGACACTACAGAGTAATTCAGCTGAGCCAATCCACCTAATCTACACATCTTTGGATGGCAGCTGGTGGCATAGTGGCCTTCTCACTGGAGCTGGAATTCACAGGGCCCAGGTTAAAGACTTGGGTTCAAGTTCCACCACAGCAGCTTCAAGGTGGAAGTTACATTCAATTCTTAAGTGAGGAAAATGAAGCCACTTTGAGGGGTGACAACCATGATAGCCACCATGGAATTGGGTAATAACGATCTGGTTCACAGATCTTCCTTATGGATGGATATCTGCCATCCTTAGCCCACCATGTGCCACGACCCACAGTGATGTGCTTCACTCTTGCAACTTGCACAGTCAAGTGTGAGGAATTTGAAAAGAGAAAATGTCAAAAAAAAACACAATAGGCTCAAGAGCCAAAAGGTTAGCTCCTATTTTGGGTGGCAGTAGTCCGAACAAGTTCCAGAATAAAATAGCAACCTAAAGAGAGAAGTTGGGTTTTGTTGGACTAAAAATAACGTGGCATGTGGTTTTTTAAAAAATTCTTTCTTTCATCTGTTTACGAATGCATTTTTTGCTTTTCTTTTAATAGCCCTGTTTCTTCCTTAGTATTTCTCTGAGCAGCTTAAGTATTTGCAAGCATTTTTCAACTATTTCTTTTGCCGTCAAAAGCAAACAAATTTACAGTTAGTTTAGCACTGTTGCTGATGTTTTCAGAAATGCAAACTTCCTGCACTCCAATTCTCTGTTGATTTATTTATCTCTGTTCTCTTGCAGACCACCAGAAGTTAGAGAGGGAAGCTCGAATTTGTCGGTTGTTGAAACACTCCAATATTGGTGAGTAATGAGGCAGGAGCGTGAAATCTGTTCACACTGAATAGTTTCATGATTCGATGAGAAGTGACAAAATTCAGTTACAAGTCTGGCAGATGGCTGTGTATAGACATGTAAGTTAGCTTCTTGTCAGGAAAGCTTGGTTTAAGGAGCAGGATGCAACAAATGAAGAGGAAGAGATCTGCTGCCTTACCATAAGGGCAGAGATCTGGTTGGGTTCTCACAGTTGTTCTGGGTGCTCACCATTGTTGTGAATGGTTGCAATGCCAAGCGGATGGGAATCTACTCATTAATGTTCAAGCTGACACAGAGATGGCATGTGGAAGAAGTGCAGCATTCTTGGGATTCAACCAAGTAGGGGTCAATCCATGAGCAGGTATAAGCTGCAGGCATCCAGGTTCAAACTAATGACAGAGCTTGGTGTGTGTGTGTGTGTGTGTGTGTGTGTGTGTGTGTGTGTGTGTGTGTGGTGGTAGGAGAGAAAGGAACAGAGAATTACCAGCATTTAAACAGCACACCTTTTGCCTACCTGTGTCCAACAGCACTTTGCAACACTGATTGTGTCCTAATGGTAATTTATTGGCTGTAATGTAGGAATTTCCACAATGTGAACTCCTGTAAACAGTCAGGAAGGAGAAAAGAAGATAATTTTGTAATATTATTTGAGGCAAAAATATTGGTCGCAGTATTTGAGAAGAACTCTGCTTTTGTGATTCAGATCGTGCCTTGGGATGTTTGTCCATTCACCTAAAAGGGCAGGCAAGGCCTGATCAGAAGGATGGCACCTTCAGGAATGCAGCACTCCTTCATTTGGTGTATTAGTGAAAAGAAATTGATAACCTTCTGATTCCAAGTTCTCACTTCGCTTAGGTTGATAGGTCCTGGAGCAGGTCATGACACTGCAACTTGGACAGGAAATGTCAGAGGAAGTGCACCACAGGCAAGATGGTGGACTGCTGGGAGAACTAAAGTAATGTCTGAAGCGTTCCTGAGTAAATCCATTCTTGCAGTTATGTTTAGAAAAGCCAGTCTCAAATTAGAACTCCATGGAGAGTTGGAATGGCTTGAGGGCAGGAAGGTGTTCAGGTGAACTACAATACAGTCTGGGCTTAACAGGCATGAATTTTCAGAGACTATAGAAGAAGTTTTGAATACCACCGCTGATAAAACATTGGTGCGTATTTTCTCAAGCTGCAGCTTTTATGCACTCGGATTCTCCTTCACAGTGCATACACAGTTTCTGTGTGCTGACAGTTCCTGCCGTACATAAACAGCAATTGAAATAAATCAGGCCAGAATTATTTGGATTGCAGTGCACAAAATGATCCCCAGCTCTGAGGCAGGAGGAGAGATATGAACAAATAATGAGCAAGTTGTGTTGTCAAGGAAACGTGGCCATTTCAGAGCCTGCTTCTCGTGAGGGAATTTTTCGCATTGCTGTACCTTCCGCACAGAGGGAGGGCACAGCCGCATCCTTTTCAACAGCGTGGCACCAGGGCCTGAGGAAATGGCTTCTATTTTCTCATAATTGGCAGATTCACTTCAGAGGCAGAGCTTGAATCTGGACAGTGTGACTCACTCGGAACAGCCTTGCTTGCTGTAACATGAATGCTGGCACATTCACGTAGTTAAAAAGACAAGTTAATTCACAGAGAAGAGTGCACCACGCAACCACATCAAAGTCTCCGTCTTACAATCTCACTGAAAGAAAGTTGTCACCCTTTTCCTTTAGAAATTGTAATTTATTTCCAGTTCACTGTAACATTAGAACTCGTCCCAATTCAGAGGCGCGTACCCCACGTGTTGTGTTTGGGAAAAAGCACATCGAAAGGGGATGCAAAATCAGTGCTAGGTTTGCACCTGAAAACTGGCATGCAGGTTACTTCATGTTGGTACTGCCTATAACTGGGCTGGATTTTATTAATCTGGGTAGTTATTGTGTCAAGAACACAGTGTTTGTATCTGTGAAAGGAGACTGATTGATGATCTGTTTTCTTCTGTTCCATTTTCCTCTTTTGTGAATGGAAGATTGTGTTGCTGGGCAAGATTTTCTCAACAGAGGGTAGTGATTAGTGCATTTTCTCGAGAGTTTTAATCTCCCCTTTGTTAAAAATATAATACCTCTTCTGGCTTGTGATCAGATCATTACTGCTGTCATTGTGGCATCAACTCCACATTCCTGTCTCTACTCCCAGACCCTTTCACTCCCATGTTAGTCAAGAAACGGGCTATTTTTGCTTTTAAGATATTTAGCGACCCTGACTCCACTGCTCACTGGGCAAGTTGATTCTTCAGAATCATGACCATCAGAGAACCTTTCTCATTCTCTGTCTTAAATAGGAAACCATTTGTTTTCAAAATCTGTCTTTTTTTACCCACCCTGTCAAGTCCCCTCAGAATTTTATATATTTCGGGGGGGTCACTTGTTCTGCACTCGAAAAGATGCAGGGTTAATCTTTCCAACCTTTCCTGTTAAGTTCGTTCCCTTGTTCCAGGGCTCAGTTGAGTGATCCTTCGCTGAGTTGCTTCTAATTCAGTTATGTCCTTTCTTAAGTAAACAGTCCAAACTGTCCATAATACTAGATAGGCCGTCAACAACATCAAAACTTTATTCAAATATGGGGAAACACACTGCGACTTGAAGTGCTGGTGGCAAGAGCGGGAGCAAGCACCCCGAGGCGGCTGGCAGCGGGTGTGGGCAAAATGGAGCCCACTGTGGCCGGGCGCTTAGGGACTGTGGTGTTGACCTGTGTTTCTTTGTTTTTCTACTTGTTAGTCAGAAGGACTGTAATGGTGAACTTCTTAATTTGGTTTTCTTCATTTTTCTGCTTCGTACCAAGATTCTATACCGAGGTATCTTTGTACCTAAGATGGCACTGGAAGTGGCAACCTGTTAACTGCTCACCGTACTGGTGTGAGTACATGCAACAATAAAGCTAATTCAGTTCCATTTTGCATGTGCGACACAGGTATGTAACCTGTGCAGTGGCCATCGTGATCTTCCTTAGGAGAAAGAGTGCTTGGACTCGAGACAAATGCATGTCTGCAAGTAACAGTACTGTAGCCAAATTAACTGAAGATCACCATTAAAATAAAGGGCTATTTAACCACGTTTTTCATAAATAAAATATTTCCTGTGATTGGGAATGTTGCAAATTGAGTGGTTATCTTTGTGAGTTTGCATGCTATAGGTGTGAAAGGCTCCTGATGTTTGGAACAGTTAATAATACTGGAACAGAAGTATTTAAATAGCCCACGCTCAAGACCTGTATAGCTGTTGTCTGTGCTGTTGACAGCAGCTCGCCCCCACAGTTCTTTAAGAAACAAGCACACAACCCATTGGAGCTGTCCTTGCAAGATTCAGCTGTAATTTCATACTTGAGGTGATTAATAACATGCCAAATCTTTCAACACAATTTGACACTTTAAAGATTTCTCAACTTAATTCAAATTGTCTTATATATTCTGAAATGAAGCTCATTCTTCACATTTCAATATCTGTTTATTGTGCTATTATTTTGGAAACAAATGCCAATAATATTTTGAAATTTTAATGCACTGCTGGTGAAATAATGCTGTGCCCTTTTAAAATAAGTTTGAGAGTGACAGACTGAACTGACAGATGTTGGTGGGAACTCAATCTGTTCTCCTCAACTGGGTTTTGTACTGTCTGTGGGATTCTCACGACCGATACTTAGCTTGGCAATTGGATGGGTTGCAGGGTCTCTTTTCCTGTAAACTCTAGTCTTATAAACTACTGGCCCTCTGCTTCGGTCACAGTGACACTCGACAAAATAGCAGTGTCACTCATATATTTATATCACAGAATATTTTAGGGGAGATGGTGCTGTTGTGGTAAAGTCACTGAAATGGTCATCCAGAATGCCAAACACTAATATTCTGGGACATGGATTCAAATCCCTCCATGGCAGATGGCGACATTTGAATTCAAACATCAAGTATTAAAAGTGAAGGTGATCATGGAAACACTGTCGATTGCCATAAAAGACCCACCAAAAGACGGAAGCCTGTTCTTCTCACCTGGTCTCGCTGATGTGGGACTTGGAATGATGGAGTCTGGACTCCAGTTGACTGTTAACGGCACTCTGAAATGGTTTAGTGAGCCACCCGGCTTCAGACCTATTAGTAATGCTGCTGGCAATACCCATTTCCCATGAGCCAATAGTCAGAAAACAAAAATAATTTCTAGATGTACTGTACCTGACCCTTGCCCATTCGTTCCTGAAATTCCATGTGCTTGACTCGACTCTGACATATTGTTTCTTGTGACCCATTGCGCAGTCTCCTCAGTTGGCCCATTCATTCCAGAGACATATTGCACTATTTCCAGTTCAGACTCCTGCTTTCTTACCCCTGCTGCACAGAATTGGCTTTGACCTCCCCCTTGTTTCAATATGTTGCGATTGACGGTTGTGATTTGCTCATTCACGGTTAGGGCTTTGAGAAAAGAGAAACAGGGATTGATCAACTATTTACCAGTTGCAAACATCCTAGTGGGCTTGTTCTGTGTGCGCTTTGGGGCAGGTGTGTCCCTCCTTCTGGACCTCTGCCCAGTGAAGCCCCTTCCCACGTGCCATTGCCTGCTCCTACGTGTTCCCCTGCCTTCCCAGTGTTGGTTTCACAGACTGCACTCAGGGACCTGGGGAAATCCCTTTCCTTGTCTTGTGATCTGTTTGTTGTTTGAACTACCCGCAGTCAGAGCAATGAGTCATAGAGCTTTAAGGCACAGAAAGAGGCCCTTTGCCCATCGTGTCCATGGCAGACATCAAATGCCAATCTATTTATCCCAGTTTCCAGCACTTGGCCCGTAGCTTTGTGAACTTAGTTGCTTCAAGTGTTCAACTAAATTCATCTCAACCGTTGTGATGGTTCTTGCCTCTGTCAGGCACTGCATTCCGGATACTGTCTATCCTATGGATAAGAAAAATTCTTCCTGAAAACCCCTTTAAACCTCTGGCATTTCGCCTTGAATCTGTGCCCTG